ATGGGCAAGCACAAACACTGTTACTGGCACTGGCTCTAGTGCCAGCTCCCTACAGGCAAAGTCAGTCTCACTACGCTGAAGCTCACGCACCCTGATGTTGTTCCTCGCCGTGATCGAATCGCTGCCCCTATGCGTTTGGCCTCCTGGATTCGCTTTGAAACGGTAATGACAAGCGATGATTGGGAAGGAGCTATCAGCTTGTTGGTGTCCAACCTCCACCGACCCGACCAAGAATTGCTCGCGCTGCTACAAAGCTGCGTGGCAGGACAGCAAATTGCCTCCATGGAAGAAGCGCAGGCACTGCTGCTCAAAAACTTTCGGGTTGGCAAAGGTAATCCAAGTGCGTGTGCTCAATGGCTGACGGAGATGGCTCGAGACCTCTTGGCACCGATCCCGTTCCGAGAAGTGTTTGTCATTTTAGCCCTATTTCTCCCGCAGCTCACCTTTGTCGACGAAGCCACCACAAGACAAGAACTGTGGAGTAGTCCCACTGTTCGAAAGTTTGGCCTCGTTGTGGATGTCACACCAACAGCTACCGGACTGCAGGGCATGCATGAATATCGCATAGCCTTTCCCTCGTGGTCACAATCGGCTATCTTTTGCCCAGCGCACTTCCAGAGCTGTAATTTTGAACAACTAGCTAGCAGCCCCTCAAGTACTCAGTCTTAGCGCTCCTGCTTGCCTTTGTGACTCCCTCTCGGAAACGGAAAGGGGATGAATCGCCAAGTGAGAAGCTCCGTCGACTGAGCAGCCCTCGGCACTGGGACGTTGCCTTAGTACCGTTCCCGGAGGATTTTGCGCCGCTGCCCACGCCAACCGAAACCGGACTAGCGTGCCCAGCGCCATGGGCCTTCCCACCTAGCCTATGTGTGCTAGAATCTAGAGCAACTAAGTTCCGAGTGTTGGCCATCGCGGAAGCAGGAGACACTGTCACTGCTGATCACCTTTTGCAAATGGCCAGCTTAGCGGCAGAACACAAACCCACTGTGCTGGGTATCCCCGGCCAAGTGCCCATTCCGTATCAACTGGAATGCACAGTAGTCCTATTGCAGAGCTTGCATGCCCTCTTCCAGCTGCTGACCTCCGGCAATACAATGCAGCACTGTCCCCAAGCGGCCAGCTTTGCTGTTGCCCTAGGCACAGCCGCTCGGCAAGATAATGGGCACATTGTTTCGATGGCCTCCAGCCTCGCGCTGGCTCTCCGATCTGGCAGATCTACCCTGGCAGTAGCAGGTGTCTTTGGTGCGGGCAAGACTCGATCCCTGACCTTTCTCCTCGCCTGGCTGGCTCTTACCACTCACCTTAAGATTGCAGTCGTGCATAAAGAGAATCCAGCGGGTCGGGCAATCACCAAGTTGCTCACAGCTTTTGACCTAGAGCCAGACCACCAGAGATATTTCATTCGGCCAGTTAGCAGAGAAGAGGCAGAAACTAACACAGCGTGCACTGACTATGACTTGCGTGCAAGCGATGCGGCATCATACATCCCTGGCTGCCACGTAGTTATTGTCACTACTGGGCTTGTCTGGGACCAAAAAGGACAGACTCACTCCACACTCAACACCCATATGGAAAATGTGGACCTGCTCATTAGCGAAGAGGCACAGCAGGATATGGACCTCAAATCTGCCTTTGCGCTGACAGTCCCCCGACAACCCTTCTTTCGACTGCTGCTTGGTGATCCCAAACAGAGCCCTGGTGGAGTAGCCGATGGACAGAGAGCCCATCGCACGCTCCTACTCAAAGCTCCCATTGGGCTGCGAGCCCCCACTACCTGGTACATGCCACATGAAATACCAGGGGTCTTTCACATGCTCCTCCGGCACGGTCGAGGCTTTGGCCTTAGTGATCTAGAAGAAACGGCTAAAGTAGTGGGCCACAGGCCATTGGGGAGTAGCTGGTTTCGCCTGGAGAAGGTCAAAGCCACGTCTTCGTTCGCCTGTCAGTTACAGTCCACCTACAAAGACCTCTCCAGAGTGGATCTGGATCTCCCGGAAGGACTGCTGGTGGGTCTAGGATATGCAGCTACCAGCCCGGACAGCCCGCTCGACTTCCGACAGGCGCAAAATGCGGCCGAGAGATCGGGAGTCGCAAGCCCGCACTGCTGGAGCTTAATGTTGCCAACGAGCGCAAGGGTTGCCCAAGAAGTGTACGAGCCGTTAATAGGAATTCAGTATCCCATGTTGCGCAGCCGAATGGGAGACACTTGGCAAATAGGTACCACCTCCATTCGAGAGGATCACCGGATTGCCTCAGGCCTACGATTTGTCCACTGGTGCCATGCTTCGCCCAATGTGCATGCAAGGCAAAACCCAAAGAATGACCCTACAGTACGAGTGTATCAACATCTCGAAGACCAACTTACCAAAGCAGGAGCTGACACCGATGACATCTTGGCCCTTACAACCACCCGGGAAGGGGCTACGAATCTACGCAACTATTTCTCCATTGCCGGCAAAAAGGCTAATGCAGAAACTGCAGTCAAAGTTGCAGGCGCCACGGCCAAACATTGCATCGTTATTCACGGGGTGTCAACCTTTCTCAGTGGCGAAGGGCACAACCTAGATTATGACCAGGAGTGCTTCACACGAGCAAATGTGGCATACAGCCGAGCCACTGACCTCACCATCCTAGCATGTCCGTTGAACATGCAAGGGATGCCTGGGGCCCTACAAGTCCTACCACCCTCCTGCATGGTGTCCAAACGATATATACCTATGACAGCAACAAAGAGCCCGATATTTTAGGCTCACTGGACCTTACAGCCACGCAGGTTGCGCAAGCCACAATATTCTTCCAGCAGGCGCTCCTGCCCCACCCAATGTGGCTCGGCCCTCTACCGGTCTGTCTCGCAGAACACCATCACGGCAAGGTGAGGCGCTTACGTCTCGTCTTAGCTGCACTCACGCATTTGACAAAGGCGGAAATTGCTAGCCTAAGAGAAGGGCCCCACCTGCCTGGTGGTACGGTCTTGCATGACCTCGTCTATGGTTATGCAGTTGATGATTCGCTTGAGCCAGAGTGGCTGGTCATAACAGATGGGCAGCAGCCAGGACGTTGGCGACTTCTCCACAATAGCTCTGGCCCAGGGCACCGATGCAGCGTAGGAAGCTCCCTGCGCTATCAGCCAACGCCGAGCACACGTGAACAACGCAGTGCACAGGATTATACTTTCGAAGCACTGCACCGGGTGTACTTCCACGACGCATGGAGAGTGCAGCCAGTCCTGGATGCCCCAGGATCCGAACTTGTCCTGCCACCGCAACCAGGCCTTTTAGCGCATGGCTGTTACTGGCCTCGGCCAAGTTTGACACCTGATGTCCTCTCTGTCTCTGATCGTGACCCAGAAAAAGAGGAACATGAAGTGCAAGGGGGACAATCGCTGTCCTCTCTTGTGGCGACAGATGCTGCGATGGCTGATGAAGACGCGAATGAAGCAGTCTCAGTCCACAGCTCCTCCTCCGAGTCGCCCACTATCCCGAGCACAGAGCAACCGGAGGAAGATGACGCACACATGGAAGATGATGATAGTGCTAACACCTCCTCTGCAGAAGAGGATGATTGCCTTAGCAATCGTCCGGCCCTTCCTGACGCATGCCCCGCACAGGATGAAATGCTGGAGGCAGAAGATGACGCTAGGAGCGAGCTACCCCCACAGGACGTGGACCCCCCAAGTAGCAGCCCCACATCGCACTCTGAGTCCCCAATCAAACGAAGACCGGGGTCTAAGGCTAGTGCCGGGCTAGCTCAGTCCAAGAAGTTACGGAAATCACTTGCTCCAACATCCAGGCAACCACTCGGCAGCATTCCTGAACATGAGCAACCACCGGCCACACTGGCAGACCTAGCCAGTCGGAATGCTCAAAGGCAGGAGGCTCCCGTTTGCAGGAACCCTGAGACACCACCTGACCACCCTGTATCGACGCAAGAGCGCCCACACGCCATGACGGAAATTGACATTGCCAGTGATCAAGAGCATGCAGAGCGTGGAGGCACGGCCGCCACTGATCTCCAACTGGAATCCGAGCAGAGAGCCACGCAGGCCCTATACGACTATCAAAACGCGGCTCGAACGGCCAGAGAAG